GTTTGTTTTCGGGGGGAGGGGATCGTATACTTGTTGACACCCTCCCAGCTGAGACTCTTGATCCTGATCATACTTTCCCGGGTGGCCTGTCTCAGGTGGTCCTTGCCTGGACATGACTCCTACACGCAACTTGACCAACGCTTATTCATAGGAAAAGAGGGGCAGGTTCCCGTGCAACCTGAGTGCAGGGTCCCCAGTTCCAGGCAGCAGAGCGGAAGGCGCAGATCGAGAGAGACCTGCAGGAGAGGGTGTGCAAAAAAAGGAGCCATGTGCGAAGCCACGGGGGCGCCTTATTGCGCTAATTGACTTTAGTGGATCCAGTGCGCGCAAATTCAATCGCGACCCACCGAGTTCAGTTTGTGCCCATTCCAACCTTTTTGTGCGCCCTTTTTCCCTTGGAGCTGGTTGAGCTTCTTACCGTACAGTGCCGGTCTTCATTTCGACCCCATGGTCCCTTTGAGGGGGCTTGGGGTGGTCATCCTCTTAGAACCCCACCCCCCCCACCCACCCCGAGACGGGCGAACCGCCTCAGGACTTGGCCAGGCGCCTCCACGTGCCGCGCGCCGCGGGCGGAAGCCGCGCGGAGGCCTCCGAGACGCGCGACCGCGCGAGCGGTGAGTGGCGGGTCGGGGAGGAGAGGCCATGGGACGCTTGGCTGGGAATTTTAACAAGGGACCCTCTTACACCATTTCTAGGTCGGGATTTATGTCCACCAACCACATTGGAGGTGGTTCCTTCTCAATATTCATGGTCATTTGGCAGAAACCACGTGCCGGCACGCTGGAGACAAGGTGCCAGGCCTGAAAGTCGGGGAGCAATCATGAAGGGTTCATGTTGCGCAAGCCTTCATTCTGACGCACACTTACATGTTTCAGACCATTCGAGATGCGGCTCGGTGGTTGCGCCTGTAATTGGGTTAGACATAAATGTGTATATGTGTTGACAACCCACGTAGATTCGAGGTAATTTGCTGGTTGGAGGCCCCATATCATCTCGACTATTGCTTCCATTGCGCCACCTGTCCAATGACAGACAATATCCTTCTACCAAAGGAGGTGAGCGGGGTCCCTGGATTTTTGAGTCACTGCTCCTCCAATGGGCTCGAGTGGCCGACGCTTCCTGTTCCTTTGATCGTATTCAGAAGGCATCCATGGAAGGCGCTGGAGCTTGGTCAAGGGGCCCGTCCAAAAGGAGCTGTCTAACTTTGAAACCTTCCCAGCCCCCATATCCTGAATAGAGGACACACCCTTGTCATTTCAAGCAGGAGCCAACCATTGAATGATGCAAGACGGTCAACGTAGTTTCAAGCTTCGGGCGCTGCTTGATGCAGTTCCTTCGAGCTTTTGGTTTCCTTGGCGCTGGACAGCAGGGAATGTCGGTGAGGCTTGTAGCGACATGTTTGGGTATTTCGGTCTTTCCTACCACATTTCAAGGTGCAACTGAAATTGGCGGGGGTTGCCGTGCTAGGATCGAACAGCGCAGTTTCGTGGCCGCTTCGTTTGACGCGGATGCCCGAAGGTCTCGAAGATGGTCTCTGAGCCCATCGATCTGCATGCCCTCGCCGGAAAGGCCCGGAGAAGACGTGGAGGTGAAGCTTTGTTCCCGAAGAAGTGACGCTTTCCCTCTAGAATCGGACGCCCCCGATAGATCAACTGGGGTTTTAGAAGTCCTGGGTTCATGTGAGGAGGTTCCCCTCGAATATTTACATCATGGTTGTTGCAAACGGGAAGTTTGAAGAAATCAAAAGAGCACGGGGGGTCCCAAAGTGGCCAAAGGGGATGCCCTTTGGGAGACGTGTCCCCGCCCAAAGAATAACGACATCTTTGCAAGCTGCTTCATTAAATGGCTGCGTACCGGAAGGCAGGAGATCTAAATTAAGAGCCCCCCCCCCGAGAAAGGGTCTTAAACCCTTCTCAGAACCCCTTCTATAAAGGTGTTCAACGCTCTTCCTGGGGTGTTGGGTGTGCGGTTTTTCAACATTAGTCGCCAACAAACATGGAAGCGCGCAAGCGGTTTCCCCATGGAAAGGTTTGGTCTTCCAAAGAGTTTCTGCCCATTCATCTTTGTTGGATGGAAGGTTCTGGGGGTGACTTTGAGAAGTTCATCCTTTCGTACTCAGAGGGTTCTTTGCGTGTGTTTGTGGGAGTAACTACCTTTTCGTGGTCGAAGGGAAGCCAAAACTTGGTTCCCAGCCATCCGGTTCCTTAGCTTTTTAGATCCTTTTCGTGCTTAGTTTCCATTTAAAGCCTAATAGTCAGTCACTTTCAGCGGGGGATCGGTTTGGGCCCAGAAAAGTAAACCACCCATGGGGTCTTCCCCACAGACCGCGAAGCCATGCCCTGGAGAAGCCAAGGTGGGGAGCCGAAAGCTCGGATCTGGCGAAGTCGAGTGCAGGCCGGCGGCTTTCTCAGCGGAAACTCTGCCATCGGTGAAAGAAGCTGCTATTGGGTTGGATCATGAGACTTGATCTTTTTTGGGAAATCAAGGGGCTTTCAACACTAAAACCCCAAAAAGTTGTTTTTTTGCAGGGGCGTCAACAACAACCAAGGGAATATGTTTTTCCCTGTTGGTGCTCAAACTAGGTGATGAAACATGTAAATGTGCTATGTTCTTGCTTTTGTGTTTGAATATTTGATTTTCCCCTGTTGGTTTTAAAGGGACTCCATCACTATTGGAAATATGTTCTCATGGTTTTGCCAGCGGGCGAAAAAGCAAATGGGGGATTTCTGTTCGAATTGAGCTGATCCGCCATTCTTTTCCATCGTTCTTTCAACTCGAGACGAAGCCTGAGTTTGGTTTTAGAAAGGAAGACCCCAGGAAAGAATGGGGATGGCACTCGTGTAATGCTTGGAAGATCGATGTAATTAGATGGGTTCATTAGTAAGGGTCCCTCAACCATCACGAACTTGAAGGGCCCCTTGCCGCAGCATACTGGTGGACATGAACTGGTTTGTGGTTGATGGTGGATGCAAATCAGTTGACGCCCGCGAAGCGGCACCCAAGTCAGATTCATACCAACCTGAAGATCTCCAAGCAAAGTTTGGCCACACATCTGTCGGACAAGTCTAAATTCGGATGCGTATGGGTTTCTCTTTGTGGAGCTGGTGTCCTTTTATGGGTTTGAAAGAGAAAGCGAAGAGACGTTTCAGGGTAGGGGTGAAGCGGGGTGGAAGCTGTTCAGATCCCTGGCTTTTATAGAGCTCTTCGAGGGCGCGGGACGGACTTTCGTTGGGTCCATGTTGACCGGCCGCGCCGCAGGATTCAAGTTGAGACCACGCCCAACCGTTTCTTAAACCATTTTTGAACGGAAAGGAGCCCTTCACGTTTGTTAACCAACATGTGTTTGGCCATCCCAAGGAACATGTACGTGCGCTTCGCGTGAGGCTTCCAGACAAATGAGCGGGAACAATGATCCACCGCTCGCATCGCGCGCAGGCCTGCCTGGCGAAGGACTCGTGGGGATGGGGGGGTTGGCGGTGCGACGGACACCCCTCTGACACCCCCGTCGCGGACTGGATGTGTTTGGCACGGCGATAGTGGTACGTACTGCCGAAGGGCGCCCTTCAAATGTGACGGGGTCAATTCGCTTTTGGGCCAATTCGTTTTTGAGCCATTGGCCACTCGGACTGTTTGCAAGAGAGGCATGTGGGACATGCTTTCCAGGAAGATCCCAACATCTTCATGTATTTGGCGTTGAGCAGGTTGGTTAGCAAGGTGGCTGAGTGCCAAGTCCGTTGGCTGAGGAAACAATGAGAAACCTGCTCATTCTTGCAAGGATTTGTTGGTGGATTCCAAGAGCTGTATAACACGCAGGCGTGCTTGCAAACTTATCAAACAACGGCATTGTCCTTTAAGCGCTGGCCAACCTGGCCGACCGTTCCACATTTCATTCACTTGATTCATTTCTAAACAGCGACCTGGGTTCAAGAATTGTTTCAAAATAAAACTTGGGTCAGTTCTTTTTGGCAAGAAGATTTGGGGCAACATCGCGCATGTTTGCTCATGTTCTGTTTGTCCTCGCAATCGGCGCCCATTTTTTGGGAGCAACCGTATTTCGCGATCTGGTTTCACCTTCATTCGAGGACCTTGCAGGAAGGTCTAGCGACTGAGTAAGCCTCGAGTCGTGGTGGCGAGTGACCGCGACTTGCATGCAGCGCGCACAGGATGCCTCATTTTCTGGGTGAGAACGTTGATTAGTCAGATTTCCTTTCGAATTCGCCTTTTGAATTTCAAGCTGCTGCATGCCCAAGAGCTAGGCCATTACCAAAAACCGATCATCCCTCACGGGCCTCACCCACAAACTGCTTGCCCTGTGCACGCACATCTTCGAGTGTTAACGCCGATGGGGCGTCCATGAATGGACCGCCTGCGAAGAAGCGATGGCCAGAGGTTGGAGAGAAATCATATCTGGACCAGGTTCATTCAGAATGTGTATGGAAATGGGTGTGTGTTGTTTTTTTAAGGGTACCTTTTTCGGGGTGGTTTAAAGGGATTGTTTGTATTCCCGTTTACAAGGGCCATCTACTTCTCCAAAAAAATCACCTGTGCATGTGAGTCAACCCTTGGAGACGAACCAATCCGGGTTCCAACTGCCTGCATTAGGCAAGAGGTCGCTTCAATTCTCCAACCTTGAATCTTGGTTCAGCGTTTGTGGCTGAGAATGTGACAAGTTCTGCCATGAACGGAGGACCAGGAGACCGAAACGCTGTGCGTTGTACATGGCACGATGCCGAACAGAAAAGCTGCGCGCTTTGCGGCTGGCCGGCTGATCTCTCCAGGGCGATCCGAACCTTGGTCATGAAAAAGCGGTGGAGGTGTTGGCCCTCTTCCGAAGCCTGTTGTAGTGTTGTGCATTCAAAAGAAGGTGTTGACCCTCCCCCCTTTTGGAGTGCTTTTCAGAGAGGCGGCAGAGGGATCCCAAACACGGCTCAGCCCAAAGAGTCTGCTGGACTTTCGGAGTGTTGACTCGGGTGGGCCACCGCGCCTCACGCCTCAGCCAGGTGGAGTCGCAGATCGTGGTGGGTACACCTGGCAAGGTCCAGGCGACTTTTCTCGCTCGCCCGCATTTGGGGAAACAACCCCCCAAAATGTGTTTTTGTGTTTTCCTCTTTTTCCGATTTCCCTTCAAAACAACAAAAACAAAGGGTACGTACAATCAAGAAAGAGGGGCTGGGCCTACTTTTTTGACCTTCCCCAAATCGGATTCGAGTGTAGCCAATTGGGGGGGGGGATTTTGAGAAGCGGAACATCTCCCCAAACCAAGCAATTGCGGGACATGTTGCCTGCATTGGGCATAAAAGGGAGGGTGCTGTAAACGCGTCTAGATGCGTCTAGGCAAGTTCAAGCGACCTCACCAAGCGTGACCAAAACCACAACGAAGGTTTCTATCATACAACTAGGGATTTTCCATTTTTCAGAAGTGCCCCCACGTCCCACGTGCCGCGAGTCGGTGCA